CTTCCTTTCTTTCGTTCGTTTGTTCGTTTCCTGAATTAGAATTCCTGTATCAGGAGCAGGGCCAGAGCTGGGAACCACATACGTGAGGAGACCGCACCCTGAGCCTGGCCCTCCACCCCGGCTCCCGCCTCTCCTTGGTTTTCTCTGCTCTGGGTACACAGCCTTGCTGTTCTCAGGGAAAGCCCAGCTGGCTCCCACCTTGCCCTCTGCATTTGCCCTTCCAGAATATTCTGCCACCAGCCCTTTCTGTGGCTTGCCCTTTGCTACCAGTCCCTTGATCAAATGTATCTTCTCACAGAGACCTTTCTGGCCATCCCACACCCTCCCTAATCAGTGCACTTGGACCCATAGATTCTCTTCCAGGGCCACATATCCCAGTCACCTGGGACACTTTAAAATTGCCGATGCCCGGAGACTGATTCTGTTGGTCTGGGTGAGCCCTAGGCATCAGTATTACCAAAAGCAGCCTGGGATATGGATCACTGCTCCAGCCTCACACCTCTCTGTGTTTGCTTGTTGTCTATGTCTTCAGAGTGGAGCCAGGGCTTGGCCTGTCTTGTGCCCTGCTGTACTCCTAGCACCTAGAAAAGCACCCAGCATACTATAGGAGCTCAGTAAGTACCTGTCAAATGAATGAATGGGTTGAGGGGAGTTTGGGAGAAAGCAGCTTGTCCTCTGATGAGCCCTGGGAATAACAGAGGAAACTCACCTGAGCAGTCAATTCCCCATCTCCATGCTGCCTGGAAAATCCCACTCTAGCTATAGGCCTAGCTTGGGGCAAGGATAGTGGGTGGGATGGCAGGAATTGTTGCAGTCTCGCCGAGATAATGGGTTGCATATTGGCAGACAGGACAGAGAGAGCTGGAAAAGTGCCAAGCTAGCATCCGGTCTGAGCTCCTGTTGTATAGATGGGCACTGAGGCCTAAAGAGAGAGGGAGCCTTGGCCAAGGTCACATCCTAGAGGGTAGGGGCTATGGAAAAAGCTCCTAGAGGCCTGAAGCTGCTGGAGGTCTCCTTCCAGGCTGAGTCACCTTGGCCGAGCCTCTGATCTGGTTAGGGCTTTAGTCTCCCCACTCTGTACTTTGATTGAGATGGTTCCAAGCCCTGACGTCGGAAGTTCCCATGAATCCTTTAGTAGGAGAGCGCGACCCGCAGAGGGCCTGCAAGGGGTTAAGCTCCTCCCGCTCACTCTCACTCTACACTCAGACAAACCCCCTCCTTCTGACAAACACTTGTAGGAAATCAGGCTGGGCGCTTCCTGCCTAGGCGAGGCTGCCTCAGCCGCAGCAGGGGCGGGGAGAGGTGGGGAGAGATGCTTGTCTGTGAGCAGCAGCTCGGGCTGGCAGAGTGTCCTGGAGGCGGGCCAGGGCGCCATGGAGGCAGGGGGCTCCCCAGATTTGGAACAAAGACCTCACACTCAGGTCTTCTGAGCCTGGGCCAGCAGGATGGTGGAGCCTGAGAGAGGTAAGGGAGTGGAGGAGGGCGGAGGAAGCTGCCTGCCCTCTGGACAGGCCAGTCACAGACTCTGGGACAGTTCAGGGCCGCTGGACCAGCCCAGCCAGGAAGTTGCAGCTGCAGCAGCTGTATTACTTCTCTCTCAGTTTAGGGCTGAGGAAGCCCAGCCCCTGGGGCATGGTGGATTTGAAGGGGATTTCTTCAAGCCTCGGGATGCTGGATTCCAGTCAGAGCTCTGATTCTGGTCTCTGTGAACTTGGACAAACTCTGGTCTCTCTCTGTGCCTTGGGTGCCCTCATCTGTGTACATAGAGAGTTAGTCTCACTGGCTGCTAAGGGGCCTCAGACATGATGCACAGATGAGGAGTAGGCCAGGAGGCAGCAGAGGGTGTCCATGAAGGAGTGGCCCCTTCTGCCGCCTAGGCCTGGAGAGGAGCTGGGGACAATCCAGCAAACCCAGCCTATCTCTTCAAGCTAGCGGGGACTAGAGTCCACAGCAGCCAGGGCAGCTTTCCACTTTCTCCTGGGCCTCAGCCACTGGAGAGAGCTGGGGGCTGGAGGGCGTACATCGGAGAGGACACTGGCTGGTGCTTCCTCGTGGGTCTGTTTCTGCACAGCTGGTTTCTACTTAACTACACAGTTTCTACATAGAACAGCAGGTCTATGCCCTGCCAGCTGGTCAGAGAGGGTGGCCGAGTTTGGGGCTCTGACCCTAACAGCCCAGCCTTCTTGGAGGAGGGAGCTCGGTCACTTGATATAGGGGGTCTTCTTTCCCCTTCCTCCTGCCCACCCCCCATAAGTGTGATGGGCTTGGTTTCCGTCACAGGCCCTGGGTTTCAACCCCTGGGCCCCACTTCCTGGCTGCAAGGTCTGTGAGAGTCCGCCACCTCTCTGTGGCTCCATTTCCAAATCTGGGAGATGTCATGGTCAGGGTCGAGGTGGGCCAGGGTGCCATGGAAGTAGGGCTCTGGCTGAATGGGAAAGAGCTTCTGAAGGTAGGGGGAGGTGGAGGCAGGCTGCACGGCTGTAGCTGGCAGAGGAGAACCAGAGAGATGGAGCCATAACAGGAAGGGTCCTCAGTTTCGGAATGGCTGAAGGGTCAGAGAAGCTGCTGAGTCGGGGTGGCTGACCCACTCAGGAACTGGAAAGAGAAATCAAAAGGGTCTCATAGACCCTTGAGAGGGCCAAGGGCAGGGTGGTGGGGTGGATGTGGGGAGATGTACATAAGGAGAGAGGAGTGGTTGGTGCTTCCTTGTGGGGCTAGTTTATTCAGGGTTGGCAGCCCAGCCCTTGAGGGGACTTAGTGCTAATGGGACTTTCCTGGTCTCAGCCCCCAGCTCACAGGGCTGGAGCCTTCACCCAACCCCACTGCCTTTTGGGAGCAGCCCTGCTGCCCTCATGGAGGCTGATTGGAGCAACCTGCCTTTGGATGCCATTGAAGAACCCCTGCCCACAGCTTTCCATCAAGTTCTGTTCATATTTTCAGACTGCTGTGCCTTTGCCTATGCTGTTCTCTCTGGAATGCCCTCCTCACTTCTTCTCCCTCAAAATCCTCTTTTTCTCTCAAGGTCAGCTTATTGCTTCTTCAATAAGCCTTCTGTATTGTCGTTCCCTTCCCCCACGTTCATTTGAAATTTTGGAATGCTTTTACTCATTTCTGTATTTCTGTATCTTATATAGTGCTTGGCACACAATAGGAGGTCATAGGTTTTTTTAAAAGTTAATTTGCACCTACTGGGTGCTATATACATATATCTTTGTTACTTTGTTGCCCTCAGAAGCCAATGGGTCACCCAAGTTCATTAAGCTGTCTCCCAGCCCGCCCTAGCAGGGCGTCACCGTCTTGCCAAAAGCAAAAGCAGGTGGTGTTCTCTCCATTTTACAGTGAGGTAAACTTCAGCCCAGCACTTCACCATGGGGCAGCAGCACCAGGCTGGGAACCTCTGGACGCCCAGCCTGCTTCTTTCCCAGCAGCCCAGTGAGAGCGTGTCCTCATCCCGGCCTGAGATTGTTATGTGGTTGGCACTCACGTGTGCTGCTGACTGGCCAGCTGACTGGCCGGTCCCAGGCTCCATGGCACCGAGGGCCATGGCTTGCGTGGAAGTCAGGAGGTCCTGCTCAGGACAGGCTCACAGGTTTCGGAGCCTGTTGCGCATGTGCAAAACTCCAGCCAGTGGCCGTCACTGCGCCGAACATGTGGCCCTTCCTGGTCACAGTGAGATTTCTGTAATGACTGAGTCATCCCAGGGGACAGGATGTTCCTCTTTGTGCCGCAGAGGCCTCTGTGATTGGGCAGGCTGCTCTGTGGCACGGCTAGAAAAAAAGCCCTTTAAAAAATCAAAAAACCACACGCCTCCCCTGGCCCCTTCCTCCTGCAGAGGTTTCAGAAATAGAAGAGCAGCGGCTCTTGGCACCTCTCACACCTGCCATAGCAGCAGGAGCAGGAAGGCCTAGTCAACATAAAGCGCGGGCCTTGCCCGGGGTGCTTGCTTAAAATGCAGATTCCTGGGCCCTGTCCCAGGCTACCTATCCCAGGGCTATCCCAGAGTCCAGCTCTCTTTGGGTCAACCTAGGAATCTGCATTCTTAGAGAATTCGTAAGAACACTCAAGCTTAAGCCCACTGGCAGGGATTTCTAAGAGGGATACAGCCCCCCAGAGGATATGGGGAAAAAGATTAGAAGGTCCTTTTAAAATATTTATTTTCTACTGTACAGTTTTAAAAATTCATTTTTAGATATATTTTTTCTAATATGTGTAATGTGATAGCATGAGAATACATGTATATGAAGTTATAAAAAATACATATTAGGTGTGCAGGCAAATATATATTTTTACTGATGAGTTGTGTAATTGGAAAAAAAAAAATGGAGACCACTGGGCCGAAACTGACAATTCCGAATCTTGCTCTGTCCCTGAGCAGCTGGGTAATATTGGCCAGCTCACTACTCCATGTTGAGCTTCGGTTTTCTCATCTGAAAAATGGTTTTCCTGTGACTCACTCACCTGTTTAAGGTGAGGGCAGATCGAGAACATTCAGGTAAAGCTTCTAGCCCGGGCTAGCATGAGCGGGCGCAGCACATGCAACGGGATCACGAAGATGCTTGCAGGGTGATCCGGAGGAAGTTCTGGGGGAGAGAGGACTCTTAAGGGGGGAGGATGAGCCCCTGTCCAAGGAGCAGGGCTTGTAGCCAGAAAGGGAAGAATGTTAGTCCCTGTTTCTACCCCAGCCCTTGTTCCCCGGGGAACTTTCTATCAAGGACTAGTTGCCTGCTGACTTCTCATCCATACACATGAGGGCTCTGACCAAGACCCAAGGCTCATGAGACTACAGTGACAGACCTGTCTGTACCTCGAGGCCTGGAGTTATACTTCATGTCTCCGCAGCATGGAAGGAGGAGCCCGGGTGGACCTGAGCCACAGGTGACCTTTCACCCCAGCCTGTCCTGGCTGATATGTGGCTTCATGCAAGGCCCCTCAGCTCTCTAGGCCTCAGTTTGCCCACCTGTAGAGTGAGGCCTTTGTATGAGCTCCTGGAGGCCCCACCCGAGCTCCTTGGGAGGGACCATGCCTGCTGCTCTGTCAGATTCGTGTTTCCAGTTCTCTCTGTGGCACTTGGCACAAAGGAGGCGCTTTGGGAGTGCTGGCCATAGCAGGAGGATGAGAAAGGAGACGAGAGGAGATAAGAGGGAGAAGGAAAAGGAAAGAGAGGATAGAAAGCAGGCAGAGAGGGGCCCTTCTTCAGCTATCCTTCCGCTGCCACAGTTCCCTCTGCAGCCAGAGAAGACCTTCTAGGCCACACCTCTATGTGCTTTCCCACATCTGGGATGCCCTTCAAATGCCTGAATAGGACCTGAGTCTGGCCACCACCTTCCTTGCCCACACTCTCTGCTGTCAAAGCACCCAGCCCCTGTCCCCAGTACCACAAACCTCCATGTCTCTTCTCCTGCCTTTAGGCTTTTATACTCCTTGATCTCCCTGTCTGGAATGCTCTTTTTTTCTTTTTTTTTAAATTGAGGTGAAATTCATGTAATATAAAATTAACGACTTTAATGTGAACAATTCAGTGGCATTTTGTATATTTATAATATTGTACAATCACCACCTTTATCTAGTTCTAAAGCATTTTCATCCTCACCAAAAGAAACCTGTGCCCATTAAGCAGTCACTCCTCAGTTCCCTGTCCCTCAGTCCCTGGTGACCACCAGTCTGCTTTCTCTCTCATGCATTTACCTATTCAGGATATGTCATGTGAATGGAATCATACTGTATGTGACCATTTGTGTCTGCTTCTTTCACTTAACATATTTTTGAGGTTCGTCTGTGTTGTAGCATGTGTCAGCACTTCATTTCTTTTTATAGCGGATTCATATTGCATTGTGTGTGCATACCACGAATTGTTTATCCATTCATTGTTGTTGGACGTTTGGGTTGTTTCCACCTTTTGGCTGTTGTGAGTAGTGCTGCCATGAACATGAACAGAAGAAGTGGTGGCCAGACCCAGGTCCTATTCAGGCATTTGAAGGGCATCCCAGACGTGGGAGAGAGCACATGGAGGTATTTGTTTAAGTACCTGTTTTCAATTATTTTGGGTAGTGGAGTGGTCTTTCCACCATCACCCCATCCTGACCTGAATTCTTACCCAATGGGGGTCAGGAAAGGTTTCCAGAGAAAGTGGCTTCTAAATGGGACCTTCCCTGACTTCCTAGGCCTACACAGGACTCCTGCCACCCCCTTTTACCCCGCTCCCACCGTCATCGCTCATCGCTCTGGGCCTGTGCCCAGCAGTCGCACACATGGAGCCTGACACAAGGTAACAATTGCTAGCACACATTCAACATCTGTCAGTGCGCTGGCCCCTGGCTCCTTACCCTGTATCTCAGGTAATTTTACACAACTCTTGAGGGAGAGAAGAATTATTATTCCAGTTTTACCGATGAAGAAGATGAAAGCAGAGTGACTTGCCCAAGGTCACACAGCTTCAAGGGGATGGAGCCAGGAGCTGAACCGGGGCTGTCTGATTCCAGAGCTCCTGCTGGTAACTTTTTGTTCTGAAGAAAGGAGGGGGCTCGAGGATTAATGCTGTCCCTTGATTGTGTCCCCGACAGACCTCAGACAGGATGGCTGGTGCTGAGAGGAGCTGGCGGTGACTCTGGTGCCCATAGTGGCAGCTCCGTCTCCTGAAGATGAAGTGGCCCAGGTGAAGTACAAGTCAGGCCCAATGGCCAGCTCAGGAACAGAGGTCCACTGGGCTGAGCCAGGCCTGGGGAAGGGACCCCAGCGGCGGCGCTGGGCCTGGGCTGAGGAGGAAAAGGATGCTGATGGGAGCGGCCCACACAGCTGGGGGAAAGAGGGGCCCTTCCCCAGTGCCACCAGCCCCGAGCTCCTAGAGGACTTCCGCCTGGCCCAGCAGCACCTAAAGCCAATGGAGTGGTACCTGGAGCTGCAGCCTGATGGGCGCCAGGATCCTGAATCGGGAGAGTCTGAGGAAGAGGGTGAGAGTGACCCCCGCCCCCAACCTCACAGTGGTGTCCCCTAAACATCCCACTTTCTGGTGGTAGGTGGGAGTGGGAGGGAGTTTTAGAAAATTTTTAATTAAAATTTATGAAGTCAATAGTTTAAAATTTTTAAAGTTTAAATTATGTAAGTATTATTGTTCATTGCAGAAAAATCAGAAAACATAAGCAAAAAGAAGAAAAACTAAAAATTACTTATTATCCAGATAACTCTTTTCCAAACAAATGTGATATGAATATGGAACAGTATTTTACAAGCTATATTGGTTTTTGTAACTTAATAGACATGAACAGTTTTTCAGTTCATCAAATGTTCTTCGTCAAGTCATTCCTAACGCTTGACTAGGAATTCCATGGCATGGATATTCTGAAATTTGTTGGGCCCATCTCTTACTGCTGAGCATTTAGGTAGCTTCTATTTCTTACTATTACAAATAATGCAGAGGTGAATATCAGCGCATCTTTGTACGTTTGATTTGATAATAACCTTGGTAGTTTAAATTGCTTGGTCCAGGGGTTATACCCATTTTTAAGATTTTATAGAATCCCAGTTAGCAATGGGAATGTTGGCATCCCTTGTTTTCTAAAATAACTCTTCCCTTTGCACCAAGACCAACTTAGATTAACTTCTTAGTTTGGCTTGGCAAGTCTCTTCTCCTCTTGGAATCTTGGTTTCCCCATTTGTGAAATTAGAGTAATAACACCACTGAGAACAGTAAGCGCTTTATGCATGATGCCTGTTGCACTTAACAGTATGAATGAAACGCCCCTGTCTTGAGATTCTGCAAATCAGGCAGGCCCCCGTGGATGGTAGAGAAGCCATTAAGCTGGTAGTGGGTTGTGCCAAGACCTCAAGTTCCTCATGTCAGGTTTGCCCACAGCTACCTGCTAGGGAACCACTTCTGAACTCTCCCTCAGAGGATGGTTACTGGGATGTACTGGGATGAAAGGGCAGAGACATCTCTTCCCGAGGTCACATGGTAACCCCCTGCTATGATGTAACAGCTGCTGCCATGTCCTGTGCCCTTACTGTGTGCCAGGTGTAGGGCTAGGCAGAGCCCGGGACTTGCCCTCCTCACCACTCTGCCAGGTAGGAGGGACTAGCCTCCAGTCTAGGAAGGACTACCAGAGAGGTCAGCTACTTGCCCATGACACCCAGTGAGGGATCACAGGGGCCAGGATGGAACGCAGAGCTCCCTGGCTCCAAAGCTCACTCTCTTCATCCTACGGCATGAACCTCAGTGGCAGAAACTAACTGGCCTGCATGGCTGGGACCTGGATTCCAGGTCCAGGACGGTGTGATCTTTGGCAAGATGCTTAACCTCTCTGGATTTCAAATGTGCTGCTGTAAACAGGAGAGACTTGCTGAAGGAGATTTTAAGGAGTTGAAGGATGTAGAGGTGCCGAGGGTAGGGGAAAGATCCTACAGGAGCAGTGAGTGATAACAAGGATTATGACAAAGGTGCCTCTCACCAGAGTAGAGAGTCTGTGTTTGGTGGCATGCAGACTGTGTCTCACGAAGCTTTGGCTCTATCCCAGAGGCTGACATAGGATCTAGGACAGAGTAGGTGATCAGTAAACATTGACTGCATGGATAATGCGTAGATGGATGGATGGATAAATGGGTAATGAGTGGTGAGTGGCTGAGTAGATAAATAGATGGATAGATGCATAGATAGATGGGTGAGTGGGTGTTGTATCGGTGAGTGGATAGGTAGAGGAATGGATGACTATTTCTTGACTACCTACTATGTAATAATTACAACAACTATCCATTTTCTAGGAGCTTTGCATACCTTATTGTACTCCCTCCTTCCGTTCTTTCCTTCTTTCCATTCTGTCAAGTACTGAGCACCTACTCTGCAAATACAATAGTAAATAAAAACAGAGGGTGTCCTTTCCCTCATGGAGCTGACAATGTAGTGGGCAGAAAAATATTAATGATACAATCACATAAATAAGTGGAAAACTGCAGCTGTGATAAGTATTTCAAAGTAAAGGTATTCCGTGAAAGTCTATTAAGGGAGAATTTGATCTAGTAAGGGAGATCTGACCAGACTTTCTTGATCAGATCAAGTTTGAGCTAATGCCTGAATAACAGATAGGAGCTAACTAAGCCAAGGGAAAGAAAGAAAACCCTGGTAGAGGGATTAGCATGTGCAGAGGCCCTGTGGTGGGAGAGGATGTGGCATGACTAGAGCAGGGAGAGATGGGGGATGCGGGGGACCCTGGAGAGAAATGGATCAAGAGAGCTAATGGGGGTTGGAGGCAGGGACCTCAGGACCGTATTTAAGGTTCAGCTCTATCCTGAGAACAACAGGAAGATATTGATGAGTTTTCAGATAAGGGATGAGGTTGAGGATTGAGATGATTATGTGGCTACTGCAGTGGTCCAGGCTAGAGAGGATGTAATCTTGGGCAAAGGTAGTGGAGCTGGACTTTAGAGCAATAGGTAAGTTTGGCAGCTCTATAGGAGGTGATGGTGACAGATTGGATTCTGGGGCTTAGAGGAGACAGATGGCAAAGATGCCTCCCAGATTTCTGGCCTGTACAACTAGATAAGATGATGTTGCCATTTGCTGAGACAGGAAACATGGGGGACCACCAGGTTTGAGATTTGAGTTTGGAGGGCCTTTGAGTCAGATAGAGGAGATGTTAGGTAAGTACTTGGCCATGTGGCAGCTCATCGGGAGTCTTGCCATCACCACTGTGATGAGGAAATGAAAGCCCAGAAGGGTGAAATGACTTAGGCAACATTCCACAGTGAGTCCAGACCTGACATATGCTAAGCAATGACCTGTCTTTCTAGAGTTTGAAGCAGAGGATGTGGACAGCCCAGAAGGTTCCAGCTTGCCTCTCAACTGGCTCCCCCAGCAGGATCCTCAACCGGACATGATGGAAGAGGAGCCAGATGAGGCCGTTGGAGATCAGGAGGCTGAGGAAGCTGGAGAGAGCTCCCCAAGGTTGGGAGATGAGACTGGTCTCTGCTCCGGAGACAGTGGAAACACCAGCCCTGAGGCTATGGGGTGGGATCAGGCCACAGGCTGGGTAGCCTCTGGCAAACAAGCCAGTGGAGAAAAACTTCCAGAACACTCCGAGGTCAACCCAACCATTGACCTCAACTCCGCAAGGTCCTGGAGCAGCGGGACCATGAGCCTTGACCAACCTAGTGACAGCCTTGATTCTCCTTGGGAAGGAGAGACCAATGTCCCCCAGCCCACTGCCCTGACAGAAACTTTACCACAGAGCCCCAGTCGCCACCTCCTAAACCCAGACGACAGAACCGGAGGAAGTGTTGCTCTGGCAACCCCCACAGAATTCCAGGACTCCTCAGCACCCGCACCCCAGAGCCTCCAGTGTCCTGCAGATACATGGAGGAGAGAAACTACCAGCTACTCCTGCCCCCAGCCCGGGGACCAAGCCTGGAAGCAGAAACGGACGTCACCTAAGGCTCTCCCTTCCCGATTCACCGGCTCCATCAGCCCCTTGAATACTCCGCCTAGGCCAGTCCAGCAGAAAAGGCCACTGCCCAGGCAGGGAGCCACTCTGGCTGGCTGCTCATCTTCTGATGCCCCCAAGTACGGCCGGGGGAGGCTGAACTACCCTCTCCCTGATTTCTCCAAGGTGGGACCCCGGGTGAGGTTCCCCAAAGATGAGAGTTACCGCCCCCCCAAGGCTAGGAGACACAACAGGCAGCCTCAGGACCCTGTTCGGCCACTGATCTTCAAGTCACCTGCCGAGATTGTGCGGGAGGTGCTGTTGAGCAGTGGAGAAGCCTGCCTGGGAAAGGACCCACCTCCTACCCACCCTATCACCAAGGTACCCCAAGAATTTCAGACGCCCGAACAAGCTACCAAGCTAATCAATCAGCTCCAGGTAAAGTGGACTAATTTCTGTAGGTGTGTCGTCGAGGCATCTGTGGGCCTGGATGCGTTGGAGGCTGGTTGGGATGGGAGGTTGGTGGAGGCCTCCGGCTGGGCTAGGAATCCCCTGCTGGTGGAGAGAAGGTTGTACTCCAAGCCCTTTGCTCAAAACGAGCAGGACTGCACTCATGCTGCAAGGATAGATAAGTCTGTGTTTGTTTGTTTTTAACTTCTGCTGTAAAAAATTTGAAACATTATGCAAGAGAGAAAATAGTATAATGAGCACCCCCCCTCCGCCGCCCCACCTCCACCCACGTATACCCATCACCCAGCCCCCAGCGACCTTTATCCATCTATGGCTTCACCCCTTCCCCCACTCACCCTACTGGAGTATTTTGAAGCAAATTTAGCCATCAGATCATTTTATTTAAAAATATTTTAGTCTGTACGTCTAAAGATAAAGATTCTACCTTAAACATAACCACAACACTATACCTAAAAGTTAATGCTAGTTCATTAATATTATCCAAGATTCAGTCAGTGTTCAGATCCCCCCAAGTCTCATAAACGGCTTGTTTGTTTCAGTTGGTTCGAATCGGGATCCAAACACTCATATACTGCATTTGGCCAATGTGTCTTTCAAGTCTCTCCCCGTTTTTTTCTTTTTTGCATTTCTTTTCAAATTTATTTCTTCCTTGTAATTTATTTGTTAAGGAACCAGTTCTGTCCTGTAGAGTCTCCCACATTCTGGATATGCTGATGTTCCCTCTGATCTGATGTCTGTTCCTATGTTCCATTGTCTTTTCTTTGTCCTGCATGTTGTCAGTTTAGAGCCAGAGGCTTTTTTGGGTTGTAATCACCTATTTATTTCCCCTCCAGACCAGGAGCACCACATGGGTAGGGAGTTTTGGCAAGAGCACATCATGGGTGGTCCCTTCAGGAGGCAGGGGATGCCTGCTGGCTTCTCACCTGTGATGTGAGCGGCCACTGATGTCCATTGCCTTGATCCAGTCCTTCATTCGGGGTGAAAATGTTGGTATCCTCAGGCTATCATCCCTTTTGCATTTATTTGATGGAAATTTTCTATAAAGTTGAACTTTTCTCATCAACTAGTTAGTTATCAAGGTCTTGTTCAGGTAGGAAAGATGGGAGAAATGCTTGATTCTATCCTTTTAATTACCAGTTTTCAGAACCATGTGTCAGTTCCCTAGCATCCTTCAAAAATTACCAATGACATTTGTTTTGGCTTTTCCCCTGTAATGACTTGTTTTAACATGCTCTTCAGTTTTAAAGCAAGTAGTGACTATAATTTTCAAGTCTTCTATTTTTTTACCAAGGAGACCCTTATGATTCATTCATTCAGCTGTTAAAAAATACTTATTAAGCACATACTACTTAAGCTGGGAATAGAACAGTGGGGAAGACAGATGTGGGTTATCCACAGAGCCCACAGACAGGCAGGTAATTTGGAAGCAAGCAGTTGTGGTCCTCTGTGACGAGGGTTATGCATCAAGGTAAAGCCACCCAGAGTCTCCCGTCCCTGAATCATTGTCTGGTTTGGTGGAAGGGGACAGTGGATGAGTTGTCCTGAATTTGGCCATAGGGGTCTGCATTGCATGTGAGCCCGAAGGGGTCTGCTCAGCTATCATCACTGAGCGCTTTCACTTTGAGGAACCCAGAAGCCCCTTTTGGGCGCTAGGTTCCCTGTGAAGCGCCACAGCAAGGAGCCTGAGTGGGTGACTGCTTTGCTCTCCCTCTCCTGCAGGAGGACTACCATAAGCTCCTCACCAAGTATGCTGAGGCCGAGAACACCATCGACCAGCTGCGCCTGGGGGCCAAGGTACCCAGCAGGGGAGGGGTGGAGGTGTGGGCCTGGCCCCCTGGAGATGACACTTTCCCTTAGTCTTTGAAAGGGGCCACTGCCTCTTGCCTCCTGAGACCCTGGGGGTAGTGGAACACAGTCCTTCCTTGTTCTACCAAAAGGTCACTCCATGACCTTGAGCAGTGGTCTCTGGGCTCAATCTCCTTTACCACTGATGAGTTTTAATGACCTTGATTTCTAGAACTTAGGGTCCCTAGGAATTTCACCAAGAGCTCTCTCTTTCTAGATGAGCTCTGGGGTGAAGATCACCTGAACGCACTTTCTAGCTTTATTACTGATAAGCTATGTGAACTTTGGGACGTTACTTGGGCTCTCTGAGCCTCAAGGGAGTAGCACAGAATTTCTGCTTAGACCCTGGTGTTTCCTGCGCCTGATCCTTCCTGGACCACAACTTTGCCTTTCTTCTTCCTCGCTATGCACCACAGCCTCAACCCTTCATCCCCTGACCCAGTGCCGAGTGAGCGTGTGCCAAGTGTGTGCTACAGGGGGGCATGGAGAGGGACATCCATCCATGATTCCAGTGGAGCTGGCTGCCATCCTGCCCAGCCCCCACTTAGGCTTGGGAGGAAGCTGTGAATTCTGCATGTAGGACCTTCTCGTTTTCTGGGGTGAGGCAGGAAGTGAGACCTGCGGCAGCCCCTTGTGGCTTCCTGCCTTCCTCCTACCCCGCTCTTGCTTCATCAGGTAGCAGAGGAGGGAGGGGGTGGGAGCTGAGGTGCAGAGATGCAGACCCACCTCTCACTTGCCTCCTCTCTCAGGGCCCCCACGTGGGCCTGCCCCTGTCATGCTTCAGGATGCCTCCCCCTGCCACAGAGCTGCTCTCAACCACCTAGAAGGGCTTCTTTAAGTGTGGGTGGGGGCAGCCATGTGCAAAACGGAAGGGGCCCTGTTTTAGGAGCAGGTCTCTGTGTCCCCACACTGGCCTCACACACGGGCAGGTCCCTTCCCATCTCAGCCTCCTTGGACACATCTATAGAAGGGAGTTAATCAGACCTTCCTTCTGGAAACCAATATCTTAAGCCTCCTTCCAGCTCTCAACTGCTAAGCAAGATTCCGGGGTGGAAGGGTTGGGGGAGTTGGGGAGCACAGTAGAGGAGGCTTCTGGGGAAACCACATTCTCATGGCTCCAGACTCCTAGAAGGTCTAAGGGGAAAGGAGCTAGTCATCAGGTCCAAACCCTCAGTTCCCCATCTTACAGGTTGGGGAATTGGGACCCCAGGAGAGGCAGAGGCTGCCAAAGGTCATGGTCAGGGGCAGAGGCTTGAGGCATCTCCTCCCTCCCTCCTTTCCTTTCTTCTTCCTTTACTCATTTAGGGAATGAGTCAGTATATGGGGAAGCACGGACCTGGCACCTGGCAAGTTCTTCCTTAGAGATAGGGAATATTATTATTATTATTATTATTAATATTAACATGAAGGTGTTTTTTGGGTGCCCATGTGCCAGGCACTGTACAGACACAGGCAGGGGTGGATACAGTGGGAGCACAGTGGTGGTGGTGCCTCCTCTCCTGGGTGCTCTCCCAACCCGGTGGGGACTTGAGTTTCCTCATATGCAGTCACCTGAGCCAGCGTCCTGGCTGGTGACTCAGACCCCTGTCTCATGTGTGAAGGAACATAGGAGGGAAAGGAGGAGAGGCTGTGAGTGGTTCAGTGCCAGATCACTCACTCCAACTTTCTGGAAAAATGAGTCTTTGGCATGTGGGTTCTTCTCAAGAGAAGGGTGAGTACAGGTCATCTGGACCCTTTCAGGAGCAGGACAGTATGCTCCTGGACCCCAGTCTCACAGCTGCCCTAGGGAGCAGTAAGGCAGGGCCCACGATCCCAGCATGCTAAAGAGGACAGGGAGCCCAGGTGGAGCGGGGACTTGCCCAGTCCCGCAGGGCCTAGGGCTTCCTGCCGGGCTTCTCGCCCTGTCCAGAGCTCTACAGAATGTGGAGACCCTGGAGAGGCTTCCTGCTCTGAGCCTTTGTCAGAGAGGTGGAAATGGCCCTGCTCCCTCAGGCTGAACTGGTGGGAGTGGCAGCCCTGGACCTGCCGAGCCCCTCACTCTGCTCAGAGCCCCCTAGGACGACTGGACCCATGTGGGAGGGGGCCAGGCTGCGGATATTGTCCTGAGCACCCAGGCAAGGCCTGGCAGGGGGGGCCCAGCAACAGTGGGGATCCAGGGGAAGGAGGTTTTTGCTAAGTGGTGAAAAGCTGCCAGGCCCAGGCTAAGTGTACTCACAGGGTCACCTCGCTTGATCCTCTTCATGAGAGGAAACTGAGACTCAGCCAGGTGGAGTGGTTTGCTCAGCATCCCACAGCTGGTTAGGGATTAAAAGTCAGGATTAAACCTAGGTCTGCCTGACTCCAAAGTGGGTGCCCTTTTCTCCCCATGCCTGGGTGAGCCTGACAGACCCTGTATGGAATCTGTGGCAGACACACGGAGATGAGGCAGAATGATGGTGTTTATAATGATAATAACAATAGTAAGAAGTGAGGTTTACTGACCACCGTCCTAAGTAATTTACCATTGGGGAAACTGAGGCACAAAGAGTTTAAGCAATTTGCCCAAGATCACTCAATAAGTAGGTGCCAGAGCTGGGGTTTGAGCCCAGCAGTCAGGCTCTAAAGCCCACTATTTATAGAACAGTCTCTAGCAGAACCAGACTATGCAGGCTCCATAGCCAGGGAGGCTGACCAGGGAGTCCCAAGGCCTGGCCTGGAAGTATCGCTGAATCTGGACTGGGTGGGGACCGGGAGCCAGGGCTGGTGGGGAGTCACTGCTGGCTCTGTTTTCTAGACCAGCATAAGGCCAGAGTTTATGGTGATCTCACACATTCTCTGTGCTTTTGTCACCTCCCCCCAGCCTCTGTCCCCCATCTCAGCTGCTTCTCAGCTGCTGGGGGATCTGGGAGGCTAAGGAGACCAGAAATTACCCCAGAAAGAATCAAGGGATGACATAAAACTGCCTTTCCCAAAGCGTATATTCTGATGGCCACTGGTTGGTCCACCTCTAGTGGAGGTGGGATAGGGTAGGGGTAAGGGGGCAAGAGAAGTTTGTTCAGAGGAGCTGGAGAAATATTTCCTATTCTCTCCACTCCCTCTCCATCCTTGCCCCATTCATAAATTCTATTAGCATTTTAAAGGCTGTGAGAAACCCATCTGTGCAGAGAACAGTCAGTTATTTAACCCAATATTTCCCATACTCACTGATCCACCCCGCTCTGGTTAATGTAGCAAGTCCAGCCTCAAGAAGCACCATCGGACATCCTGGCTTAAAAAGGGGTGCCCTGAAGCCCAGGGGTGGGTCCCAGATGTGTCCTAGGAGACAACTCAGCTGCCCACAGCTACCCTCAGCTCCTGACTTCAGGGAATCTGCACAAGCCTTTGACCCCTCTGCTTCAAGCTCCTCTGATCCCTGAGACAATGCTGCAAGCTGCTTTTCTTGTTGCTCTGTGGGTTGGGCCTTGGGGGGCAAGCCAGAGGCTGAAAGAGGAACAGGTAGGACAGGGGAAGACATGAAGGGCTGGGCTTCCCCCAGATTTGGGTCACTTTGGGAGGAAAGGGGTGCTGGTGGGCAAGCCCCCACAGGCGAGTCTGAGCAGATGGCTGAGGGGATTATTAAAATCCAGCTTTGTTCTCATCAGAGGCTGGGCCTGAAAGAGGAGGAGGCAGCTGGAGGCAGGGTGGGGGTGGAAGTGGGGGTGGGGGTGAGGTGGGGGAGAGATTTTTCTCCTACAACCAGGATGTGAAGAACAGCTTAAACAGGAAGAGACTGCCTGCCTCGGGGCTAGGGTCTCCCTTTACCAGGCCTACCCCGACCTTGGGGCAGCAGCAGGCAGTCAGATAAACTGCCTGACATCCTGTGGAGCTGCAAGTGGAGGCACTGGGGCACCACCCACAGGGGAGTAGCTTTTCCACGGACCTGCCTGGAGGTCAGGGGATGGCTATATAATGACAACGGTGATGGTGATGGTGGTGATGACAGTGGTGATAGTGATGATGAAGGTGAGGGCGGTAGCTGCTGTTTATTGAGCAGTTTGCACAGAAAGGTTAGTTAAGTCAGCTGCTCTAGGACTCAAGGTGGCCGTGAATTCCGGCTCTGCAGAGCTCCCATGCTAAGCCAGGGATCAACAAACTTCCTTTGCAGAGGGCCAGAGAGTGAATATTTTTAGTTTTGTGGACCACACAGTCTCTATGGTAACAACTCAAGTCTGCAGTTGTAGCATGAAAGCAACCATACACAATACCTAAACAAACAAGCATGTCTGTGTTCACTGAAATCTTAATCACAAAAACAGACCAACTTTGCCAGCCCTGCTTTAAACCACCGTTTGGCACATGGATCTCTTAATTTTGAGCCTCAGATGGTCTTCCTTGGCCATCTGCCTCACTCCATCCAGTCTTCTCTCACACACAGGGCTAGTTACCAGGTCAAATCCATCCCCGGTGACACAGAGAGTAGTTCATTCATGTGTTGGTTTACTCATTCACCCAAACAACTATCAATTGCTAATATTAGCAATATAATAATTATTATTGGAAATGTTTTTATTAATACACATTGATTATATATTATTGCACTTATATATGTTAAATATAGTAATTATAATATCGTGGCTATATTACAAATCATAGCGTTATTAATATGGAAAACATAGACTTTGGGGTCAAAGCCAGGTTAAAATCCCAGGCCAAGGATTTATCAGCTGGAGATTTTGAGTTAGTAACTTAACCTCTCTGAGTCACAGTTTTCCCTTCTGTAAAATGGGGATGTTGGTCCCTGCCCTGCCTCCTTTTTGAGAGTGCCAGAAAGAGAGAATGAGATGCAAACTCTTCGCCCAGTATTTGGCCCCCACCCAAGGGCTCCGTTAAAAGGTAGCATTTATTATTATAGTCATGTTTGTTGAGCGCCTAAGTGATGGTGTGAACGAAGGTAAGGCCTTTTGAGTGGGTTTGCCTCAACCCTGACTTGGCTCTGCCTGTGCCTCTTTCCCCAACAGGTGAACCTGTACTCAGACCCACCCCAGCCCAGCCACAGTATCCACACAGGGACGGTGCCCCAGGGGACCAAGGTCTTGTCCTTTACCATCCCACAGCCCCATTCTGTGGAGCGGTGGCCAGGCCCCAATGAGGCCTCGCAGGCCTCCGAGGCCTCAGGTGAGTCTGGGAGAGGAGACATGGCTTCATTCTTCTTGTGATGTTGCTCTGGGGACACTCGACTCACTCTGGGGTGGTACTGGCTTCAGGCTGGGGGAAGGAGGGAGTATGTGAGGCTCCTCTCTGGGCCCTTTGATTTGAAAAAGTCAAAGGGAGATGTGGAAAGTATCCCACTTTGAACCACGGCAGCCTAGGGGAAACTGTCACTCTGCCACTTAGCAGCTGGGTGATTGTGGGTGACTTGCATGACAAAGAACATTGTTACTGTGGAGCCCATATGGGGTCCAGGCCTTGTGCCCAGCCTTGCCACACACATCCCAGTTAACCCCCATGTCAGCCTGGTGAGGGGTGTCACACCATTAACAGCTGAAGAGCCCAAGGCCCGGACAGGTGAGCTCATGTTGAAGGTCACGCTGCTGCAAGGGGGAGGGTGGGATTTGAATCCACATCTTTCTGATTTAGAGCTCACACTATCGACTGGGAACCCAGAGGCCTGGCTTGGCTCCAGCTGTGTGATCCAGGGCAGGTTCAGACTTCGTTCTCTCCTATAAATGGGGACAGCACTGTCCAGCCCACTCCCACACACCTGTGTGAAGATGGCGTGACTGTGAGATGACGGAGCTGTAACTTGATGATGGAGGTGGTGGTTTTGAGTACGGCATCAATCTCTCAGCCCCAGGAAAAACTGTTCTTGTCCCCAGTGTTCAGTGTTGTGTATTCCAGGGTGGCCATCAGCTCAGGGAGACCCGAGGCCCAGGAAAAACTGTTCTTGGCCCCAGTGTTCAGTGTTGTGTATTATTCCAGGGTGGCCATCAGCTCAGGGAGACCCGAGCCCCTCCTCGCCTACCAGCGCACCCACCCCAGGGTGGCCTCTGGAGAAGCCAGGCATCGCCCAGGACCAGCCCTCAGTGGAGCGGACCCAGGTGCTGGCTTCTCAGGCCAGCCGGTTCCTGGCCAAGGTGAGTGGAACCCCAGCTTTGCCAGGTGAGATATATGTCACCCGGAGAAAGCAGAACCTTAGCCTGCTTGGATGAGAGGCTCTCTGTGAGGTTCACTGGTCACTCTCCCGACAAAGTTAACTTGATTATCTCTAAAACGTGAGCCTCTCCCTGGGTTTTAGAGGCCACATGGCTCCAGCCTCCTTCTTGTTACCCATGATAGGTTTAATTCCCTTTTTGGCATTACATCTCATCAAACTCTCTCCGATTGTGCTTAAAAATGTCTCCTGGTTCACTGGCCCCCGGGGGACACTCAGCTCTCTCAGGATCTGGAGGGGTAATAATAGAACCTCCACTCTATTTTTCCTCCTCAAGATAAATCACCCTACTTTCTTAGTTCATTTCATTACAGAAACCAATTCTCAGTCGCCTCTCAAAGGGCCTTTATATTTTCATCAAATAGTCCAAAGAACTGAGAATTATTTGCAGGTCTGTTTATAACTATGCATTTGGCTTTATTCCAAAAGTGCTTTAAAGCAGCTCAGAAAACATATATTATAACCACATTCTGCAAACGGAAGTGAGGAAACTGGGGCAAAGGGGAAGTAAGGGTAAAAAAAAAAAATGAACTTAGAGTGAAGTGCATAAATAAAATGTTCTGTTGGACGCTGAACACTTTACCAGATTCATGTTTGGTTTTGAGCTTTCTAGCTGTCAATGCAAAAAAGTGAAATGCAATAGTTCATATGTCACCATGTCCATAAAATAAATTTCTTCAAAGAAAAAACACCATTTCTTTTCTTTTCTTTCTTTTCTTTTCTTTTTTCCCTTCCTTCCTTCCTTCCTTCCTTTTTTTTTCTCTCTCAATCTCTTTCTTTCACAACTTTATTTAGAGATATAATTCACATGTATTACAATGAACTCATTTAAAGTTAATGCTTCAGTGGTTTTTACAGTATTCACAGTCATGCAGTCATCACCACAATTAATTTTAGAACATTTTCGTCACCCATTATCTATTAAGCAGTCGCTCCTCATGTGCCTTCCCCCAGGCCCCGGAGATTGCTCATCTAATTTCTATCTCTGTGGGTTTGCCCATTCTGGACATTTCATACAAATGGGTTCATATAAAATAGTTGTCTTTTTTTGTCTGGCTTCTTTCACTTAGCATAATGTTTTCGAGACTCGTCCATGTTGTAATAGTGTGAACAAGTACTTTACTCCTTTTTTGTCACCACCATTCTGGGTTCTGTAACTGGAGAGACATTTCTCCTTGCCCTGCGTTGTTGTAAAATGAAGCAAAGCCAAGGTCATTGCACTGAGCAGGAGTCGGGACACCAGCTGACCCCTAATGATCCAGAGCTGTACTGTCCAATGTGGGAGCCACTAATCACGTGGCTATTGAGTGCTTGACCTATGGCCAGTCCAAATTGAGGTGATCTGTAAGTGGAAAACACATACTGGACTTCAAGGACTTAGCGTGACAAAAAGGATATGAAATATCTCATTAATCATTTTTATATTGATTACATGTTAAAATAATATTTTAGGCTTACAAAATATATTATTAAAACTAATTTACCTATTTCTATATGGCTATTCAAAAATTTAAAATGGGGTTTGTAGCTTTCATTATATTTTTATTTTGTTATGTAGATTATATGACATAATTATATTACATAAATTTCTATATTTCAGCAATGACCTAGAGCTGTCCTAAAAATGATCCCCAAATTAGCCTTTGCCTTTTTTTCTTACTATATTTTTTTGTGAGGGTGATAGATGCATATGGTAAAGACTCTCACACAGTACAAAGTCTTTTTTCTCACCCTTGCTCTTCTGTTCCATGCAGAAATGCTCAGCAAGCACACATGCATTTAGAGAAATGATCACGTAAATATGGACGTTATACAGTTACAATGCTTTTAATGTCCCAAACTTAAATAATTGTTTCTGGGTAGGCAATAAATCACTTTGTTCCGAGTTCAAAGGGTACATGTAGTAGAAAGCCTCCCTCCCGTTCCTGCTGCCCCGCCACCCACTTCTCTCCAGAAGCAATTGATGTTTCAGTTTCGTGCATCTTTCTAGAGACAGTTTGTCATACACAAGCAAATATATTTACATTTTTCTTTTTTATTCTCCACATGTTTTCTACAGATGGTAGCATTGCTAGAAACACTGTCCTGTACCTTGATTTGATTCTGAAAAGTAGGTCTCGGAGGCATGTATACATCAGAACATACACATGTGCCTTTCTCTTCCCCATGTCTGCTTACTATTCTACAGATAGGCATTTAAACTGTTTCCTCCCCCAAACCCACCCCATCCCCAACCATGCTGCAATAAATATTCTGCCTCATAAGTCTTTATGCACATGAGTAAGTATGTTTCGCTGTTGATAAATTCCTGGAGGTTCCTTCCCCTTTAATTTTTCCCAAGGCTGCCACGGCCAAGGTCAGTGGTGAAGTCAATTTCTGGCACATGCTTCTCGGTGCTTGGCAGAAAACCCCCATTCCGAGGTGGGACCTAGCTCCTTGTGCCAAAGCATGAATGTGGCTGAGTGTGGGAGTGTGCAGGTCTCATCTTCCAGGATCTGGATTAATGGAGCGTGTTTCCTTCCCCTCCCAATGTCCAGGTGGAGTCCTTTGTGGGCCTGATGCAGGCAGGACGGCTGACGCCCCAGGATCAACTCAAGGTAGTTGCCCTTGGAGCTGCCAGATAACTGCCTCCTATCACAGAGTCCCTGAAGCCTTGTTTGCTGCAAGACAGGCCAGAGAATCCCAGACATAGTGTCTCCTTTTAGAACAAAAGCCTCTGCTTAGCTTTCCATGATAATGACCATTATATTGCAATAGTTACCATTTATTAAGCAATAATGGTGGTATGCCAGGCACTGTGGCAAGCTCTCGATGAACATTCTTTAATTTTATCATCATAAAAACCCAGCAAGGCAGTTACGGTCATCACTCCCATTTAACTGGGATGGAACCGAATCCCAGAGAGGTGACTTGAAGGCTATACAACTAATAGGCGGCAGAACCTCGACCTAGGTCATCTGATTCCGAAGTCCATGGTCATAATCACGGCCCTGCATGGCTTCCCACCAATTTTCCTGCTGTCAGCAACCAGAAAGAGCCCTTTTATTTTTTTTATTATAATAGTAATTACCAAAAAAAAAAAAAGAAAGAAAGAAAAAAGAAAACTAGGGGGGAAAAATGGGGTAGACCCCTGATCTAACCATTATTTCCTTTCAGACTTTGGTATTTCTATATAATTGTCATCATATATAAAATGTAGATTTCTGGGTCCCAGGAAGGAGCAGATGGAGCTCTCAAAGCTGGGAGTGTGGGGGTCAGTGAAGGGGCGGTTAGCAGGGGTATGGCAGCATCAGGGGCCTGACAAGGAACAGAGAAGCCCAGGGATTAGTGCCTGCCCAGAGCCGTTCCCCCCAGGTCTCTCTCCTCTTGCCCTCTGACCTCTCATAGATGTCTCTCACTGGACAGACCCCACAGGAAGCCAGCGGGTAGGGAGCCCAGCTGACACTCGAGGGCCTAGAGAGGCAAATGTAATACATCTGGTTTGTAGAAAATATTATAAGCCAAGTATTTCCCTCTGTTATTATACAGATGTCACATGCATTTTCCATTTACAAATGTGTGATATGTATTATATTATCTAATTGGGTAGATGATCAAGGACTTTGAAAATTAAAACCATTCATTTTCTTCCCCTCTATCCTAATTCCTTCATATCCATGGAAGTTGGGAGCTGTTGGAAGATCAGGCTTGACTAGGGGCTAAACTCTAGGTTGTCCTTGGCCTCAGTTTGTCGTCAGTATAGAGTGCAGAGGATGGGATGATACAAAGCCAGGGATAATGATCTCACTTCCTGTAGTTTTTACCTATTATCATGTTTACTATGAGCTCTGGAGGCCAGATGGCCTGGGTTCAAATACTTCTCTACAACTTTCTCGCTCACTGTGTGACCATCACCAACTTAAATAACTTCTCAGTGCTTCAGTTTCCTCCTCTTTAAACGAAGATGATGATGTACCCTTCTCATTAGGATTATGTTAAAGGTTAGGTGAATAATGCAAAGTGCTTTAGCATAGAGCCTCAATGATCAGTAATATTAGTTATTATGAACAGTACGATGGTGATAACATCATCTGTCCTGGTCATCTATAAGCATTTGGGAAAAGAGTGACTAATATTCCAAAACCCACATGTTGCAAATCAAGGATGAGGACCCATGGTCTCTCAAGTACTAGGTCCTTATGAGGGGCATAGTGATAATATATTTAACACTAAAACTGTCTTGGAACATTGGGGTTCTTGTAGGTCTACCCAAGAAGGACTGGTGCTCTCTGGAGCTGGTGCCAAGTCTCTACGCTGTGCCTCTGACATGTCAGCCTGATGGCAGAGAGCTCGACCAGGATAGGCAGACTCCAGAGGGTCCCAACCCCAGCCTCCCAGGGACTTGGGGGCCCAGAGGCCTCCGAGACCCAGAGTGAGTCCCATGGCCCTTCCATGGGCTGTGTCGTCTGTGGGGTCTCGGCACTCAGGCCTTCCTGTCCTCGTCGGTTTCAGGGCTTCCAGCTGCTAAAGGCTGCCCACTCGGCCCTAGAGGAAGAGTATCTGAAGGCCTGCAGGGAGCAGCACCCAGCTCAGCAGCTTGCCGGCTCCAAGGAGACTCCTGGGAAATTTGATCCTGGCAGGTACGTGCTGGGGAGGGAGGTCAGGGAGGACAGGTAAGGCAGGCCAGGTCCCCTGAGTCCCCAGGACGGGCCCACTTCATCCTCATAATTGATATACCAGGGGAACAGAGAGAAGTCCTATTCTAATTAACCACATATCCAAATGAAGGCATATTGAAGGCTAAGATTTGTGTCCTTCTGGACTCACTGCAATAAGTAGTGACATTGGAAGTATGAGCTGAAACCCCCCTCTTTAGAGAATGGGGGAACTGAGGCCAGAAGGAGAAGGGATTTACTCAAGGTCCCACAGCTATTGGTGGCAGAGGGGGACTTGGGTTGAGGCTTCTTGCTTCCGAGTAGAGTCCACTTTCATCTTGTTTATTTCAAGTTCTCCACATAATGTAAATCATGGTGTTAAATAGAGCTTCTGTGGGCATTCTCTGGGGTGTCTGCTCTGAGGCACAGCCTCCCAGACCTGCCTGATGGGGCTGCCATCCTTGCTCCCAGCTCTGATGTTTCCCCATTCCAGGGAGCTGGAGGCAGAGATATTCCAGCTGGGAATTCGCCTAGAAGAGCTAAAGGACCACGTGGACCAGAACCAGCAGGGGCCTGAGCGAGCTGGGTCAGACTCGCCTCTGGACAGACCCCCGGCCACACCTTCCCCGCACCAGCCAACGTGCCTGCCCTCTCCCTCAGCAGAAGCCTCCACGCCGGCCATCCAGACCCCCTGCCCTGAGGTATCTCTTTGCCCAGTCATGTTCTGTTCCTGCTTTCATTCACTTCTTCATTAATTGACTTCTTCACTACATACTTATGAAGTGTGTGCCATATGCCAGGACCCATGACACATGGTGAGAATTCAGTGGGAAACAAAAAAATCGGTGGCTTCTACCCTCATGGAGTTTTCTGTCTAGTTGAACTAATTACACAGTTATTTAATTATAATTTTGAGCAATGCTGTGAAGGATGATTATGGGGTTCTGAGAGTAGACAGTAAGGTAACATAACTGAGTTTGGGGGGCGGGTCAGAGACACTTTCCCTGAGGCAATAATTGTTTAAATGAGATCTGAAGGCGAGTACGAATTACCAGGTAAGAAGAGGAAAAGCCATCCAGCAGGAGAAACAGCCTGTCCAAAGGGCCTGTGGCTAGAATATGGAAGCGTGGGGCAGTTGTCTGAGAGGTGGAGTTGAAGAGGCAGGGGGCCCCATGACATAGGGGCTGGTGGGTCATATCAAGTATTTGATCTTAAATTGCTAGGATTTTCAACAGGATACCACATGAGAAGATTTTGCAGGAAGGCCAGTCAGAGATGTGGAGGTAGCAGGGCAGATGGAGAGATGAACATGGACTTGAGAGAGATCTAGAAGGCACATTTGACTGGACTTGGAATTGGGGTGAGAAGGAAGCGAAGGATGAGCTCTAGGCTTCTAGCTTTTGGTATCGGATGGATTTGGGGACCGTTCACTGACGGGAAATGCTGGACAAGGGCCATACTTGGAAGGGGCTTTGTCAAGTATTCTCCATTCCACATCACAGCCCGTAAGAGACCATCACAATCTTTATTTTGCAGTGGAGCAAATTGAGGGTAGAGTGGTCACATAGGTGACCGAGGTGGAGTCTCCAGGCCTTGCTGCCTGTGCTGAAGGACTTGGGAAATAGAGCAGGAGAAGGGGCTGTATGTTAGGTGGGGCAGGGGCTGGTAAAGAGCTGGGTGCTGGTAGATATCCATGATAGCTGACATCTTGGGGCCCAGTGATTTAGGAGAAATTCTCTCACGCTGTGCTCTGCCCAACAAGGTAGAAAAACTACTAGACACTATCTCTTGTACTAATGGTGAAAACCTGAGTGCCTCATCTTGAGGGGCTCCCATGCCCCCGCAGTGAAAGTGTTATAGGGGGCTGGGTGTCCATACTGGAATCGAGGGGAGGCAGGAGAGGTGCCTTTGGCAGAAAATCTGGGTTCGAATCTCAGCTCTGCCCCTCACTTCTGTGTGACTTTGGGCAAATCATTGTGATTCAGTTACATGTCTATAAAATGGGTCATAATAACCATATGTACTGGTGGGATTGTTGCAAAGTGATATCTGTACAGTGCCTGGCACATAGTAGGTGCTCAATCAGTGGCAGCCAGTACTGAAGATCACATGATCTGGTCTCTACATTTTGCACATACATAAAAGTGTGATGGAGTTGATGAGTCTTATCTATTTCTTACTCTTTCGGCACCCAGTATGAGCCTGACCTGAGGTAGGTTCTTAAAAAGTGATGTTTAGGTATCTGCTGAATCTCTGCCCCTCATCCTTTCTGGCCCTCAGCCCAACACCGCCAGCCTTGGTCCCTGCTCATCGCACATGAATGTGGAGGTGAGCACTGTTGGCGGTGAGGTGGAGGACAGGCCTCTGGGCCTCCCGACCCCACACAGGCACAAGGAGCTGCAGGTGAAGCAAGACTTCCAGAGGCTCTTGAAGCGGTGAGTGCCCACCAGGAGGGAGCCAGGGTGTCTGGCCCAGTGGCTGGATCTTGCCTGTCCCATCTGGGCAAAGGTCACACTCCTCTGTGTGTCCTTTGGTAGGTACTTCAGTGTCAAGTCCCTCCCAGAAGCCGTGAAAGCAGAGGAGGAAGAAGAGGAGGAACAGGGCCAAACCCTGGAAGTTGATGGGCCGGCTCCAGCGCCATTAAAAGCAGACACCACCAGGCTCCCCGCGAGGCAGACCCTGGCGCAGGCTGAGAGAAGTCACAAGGTCCCCCTTAAGTAAGTCCATGAACCTCCCCGACTTGTCCCACACCAGCTCTGAAACTACAAAGGTGGTGATTGTCTCAGTGAGGTAGAAAGCTCTTCACGGTTCAGAAATGGCTTTCCTCAGCATCTCTCCAGAATGTATGCACTAATAGCACTTGGGTCATGTGGGATGTGATTTTCGGGAGGATAGAAAAAGCATTAAGTAACATTATTCTCCTTGTCAGCCTCAGACCTTCTAAGTACATCACAGAGAGACTCTCTGTGCTATTATGTCTTTAATGCCCTTCTGGGTCTTCCTTTAAATAGAGAGAAAGAGATAAAAAGGGAGCAGGCCTCAGGCCCATAGCCTTTAGCAGGCAACAGGATCTATCTAGAATATGATAATACTGTTTTCCTGTTTCTTATATTTATTTTCAAAGTTAGTTTCCATTTGTAATGCAAAATACTAGTCTTCTATTTATAATAGTGACATAAAGTCTTTTTGAGTAGATGGAAGTTAATGGAAATAGCTGCAATACTGGAAATGGTATGCAAATTCCTTTGTTTCCATACTATTCCCATGTGGTGTATTGGGTGGGTTTTGAGAAAAGTGAGGTTCAGAGAGGGGAAGTGCCTGGCCCAAGGTCACGCAGCTAGGAAGTGGCAGAACCAGGGTGGGCACCCAGGGATGTCTGACTCAGAGCTTGTGGCCTGGACTGCTTGGCTCCCAGGACGGGGCTGCGCAGCCCACATCAGG